GAAATCCTGAGATTTTTTTTAATTTGCGGCATCTCTCAGACTTTAACCCTTTCCTGTCCAGAAGGTTTTTCGTTGTTTTGAAATGTTAAAATGTGTTTTTGAAAAAAAAGTGCTAAAATAAAAGATGTTCTATACAGTCTAAAATTATCGAATCCATATTTTTTTATCAAAATCAATAATATTCTATTTGTTTTTCAATAGTTGCTCAGTTGAATTCTCAAAAATAAATATAGTTGACAATGATGATCCAAAAGTTGTGGATCACCTATGCTACCATGTGAAGGAGAGGATTTAGTATTTTTACTGAAGCGCAAAAAATCTCACAAGAAACAGGCGTGCCTCATAAAATGCCGGCGGCGCCGACTGGGATTGACCCCAGGCCTGCTGGGGTGAGAGGCAATCACGCTTACCACTACACCACTGACGCACAAAATCCGATCATCATCAGCATTTATTATGGTGCTGTGTTCGGTGAAATTATTGATTTCACTTAATTTTAGGTCACTGAATCCGAATCTGAAATCAGAATTCGTCGTGAACGATTTAGAAGCATAAAAATGACTATATGTGACAATTTATATTAATTGCCTACATTTAGGCGTATTTTTTTAAATTATTTTGCGATATAATTTGTGCATTTTTTGTAAACCATATTTTTTTTTTTAAACAAATTAACACCAGATGTTTCTTCAGCGAGAGCCTTCAACTATGCAACAGTTCAAATCTAACTTTCATCTATGCAATAAGCCACCTGGTATGGTCCCTCACAGCTCAAGTTGATATGGTATGGTCACCTCAGGATGCCTTCGTCATCTTACCTTTCTATATCACTTTGTTTATCTCCACCAAGCACAAATTGGCTCAAAATGCTTAAAATGTATCACTGGTTGTTACACTTACCCTATGCTTCTTGTTTTTACTTACTCAAATCCAATACTACAGAAAAAAAAATGTATAATTGTGTGTTCACGTTTTAAAAAAATCGGCCATTGTTCATACGTTGTATTTTATTTTCAAAATGGCCTCTTAGTAATTTTTCCATAAATTTTAGCATGAATACGTCTCTCGTAAAATTCAAATATCTAAAAAAGTATGTTTAAAAAGTGCTCATAAAAATTCAATCTTTTGAAATACTTAAGACCGTGCACTTTTTTATGTATCTTCTGCACAGGAAACATTATTTGAGACATTCAAAATCGTTATCAGTTCAAAAATTACCTAAAAAAGCTAATTAACAAGAAGGGGGCGACCCCGGCGTAGTGGTTAACATCCTTACCTCTCACGCCAAAGTCACGAGTTCAAATCTCACCCCCGGACAAGTCACGAATGACCCAAGAGTGTTAAAGTGGTGACTATAATAAAAAAAAATTAACAAGAAGTTTGAAAATATGACCAAAACATGATGTTCTGCGATATTTGTCAATTTTCAAGTGTCCATGGTTTTGAATAATCCTAAAGTTTGCATTTATCATGAGCTTTATTAAAAAATGCCTAAATATTGAAGATATTCTTTTGAGTAGCTAACACTTTTTTGGACTTTTACTCAAAATTACTAAAACAAAATTAGCGTGTACGTCTTTCCCAGAATTGCTTTACTGTTCTAAATAACTTTGTCTCAGACGTCATTTATATCAGAAGTGACGTTTTAGTGCTTCAATTTATTTAAAAATGTCAAAGACGCCAAGATCCAAAATGGCTGAATTTTTGCAAAAATGTGAATGATTGTCCATAACACATAATTATGCAAAGATTCATGCAAATCGGAAAAGGTCGAGTCATATATTTATTTTTTATCCTATTTGGCTTGGAGCTGGTCAAATGCGATATTTCTAGCCAAATTAAGTTGATCGTAAATATTTAAATAGTTTCCATATATTCGGGACTATTTTGCTTCTTGTAAACTTTATCTGCTTTATACTAACGATGTTTCAGGTTTTTATTTGGCTGCTAAACCAAACTGAATATTTTGAATGTCTTCGTCTTTTACTGTTACTTCTTCGCGTATTATTTTAAATAATATATTGCAATATTCATCAGTTGCACTTTCAACATTTCCCTTATTCCTCATCACTGTTTGGCAATTAATAATTTGTTGTGTTTATTTCTGATGTCACAAAAATTAGCTGATAATCAAGAATTTCTTCAAATTAACAGTTAACGGCCATTTCATAATCATGTTTTAACAGAGAATATACGATTGCTGTGTGAAATGCTTAATTTATCATAAATGTGCAATTTTGTCAAATATGAAATGCAGTGTTTCATTTTCCCCAATGATGCTTTATTATCTGAAGTGAAAAAGGTCTAAGTCTCCAAATCGAGGAAATGGCTCTATCAATTTCATCTAATGAACGCGGCATTGGGACGGTTCTAATGGATATTTTTGGTTGCTATTGAAAATTTAGTCGATTGCTGAATTTATTTATGGGCTCAAATTAGGGGCAGTTAGGCCGACATCACATCTATTTCCGCTATAAATTTTTGTACTTCAGGGGGCGAACTAGACATAATATCTTCGGCTAACTCATCACATATATGTGTTCACAGGCATTGTTTGGCGGAAGGTACACCGAAACAAAGATTATTTGTTTCGCCTGCAACTTGCACTTTCGCCCACACATGCTCAAATTCTTTGAATTGTGTAGTTGTGATTATGTCCAGAGAGTGTAAGAATTCCCCACGTACGTTTTATGTTCATGCTATTTTTTTTGCGTGTGTGAAAAAATCGGCCCCTGAGTTTAAGAAAATCTTAAGGATGAAAAATAAAAAAAAAAGATTCAACCGTCAATTTCTTTAAACTCTAAGCTCGTCCACGCAAATTAAAATGGGGAACTTCACCTTACCTGATGGTGGTGTAAGCTTGCGTAGGTTAAGAGTTTTGGAAAATTAACGTTTGAAACTTTGTTCATATGTTCTTTAAAAAAATAATCCTTGGTCTCTTTTAAATTGGTAAAATCATTGGTAAATATATATATTTTAACAGACATACCGAGTAGTACTGTTGTACTAATTTAATCTAGTATGTCGGTTAGGGTACTACATTAAATGAGATCAATGGTACTACTCGGTATGTCTGTACAAATCATATAATGGCGAACAGGTAGCATGATTGTATTGATGTAATTTTTTTATGAATGGCCTATGGGGGAACCCATGTGGAATGGAATTCGACACCCACAAACGACGTGCTGCATCTCCTAACACCGCCTTATGAGTAACACCGCCTTCAATGAGTTTTGCTGGAGATGGCTGGGTTCGATTCTCGGTTCGGACTAGGAACTTTTCGGGTCGAAGAATTTCTCGACTTCCATGCGCAAAGAGTATTATTGTACTTGCCACACAATAATACTAATGCAAAAATGGTACTGCCCAGGTAACCATTAGGCATTAGAATTTGCAGTACATATATCAACCTCATATTTGCATTGGAAATGCTTCTTGCTGTATATAAGCATTTTAAGTGCATATCTGTTGTAAATTAGCAATTAAAATGCACAATAGTCGCAAATCAGCATTGCCAATGCTTCGATAATATCGAGATAATAACATAAACTTATGTTATAATAACATTAACTGTTTGTTTTTTAATTATTATTAATAAAATTAATTATACTTTGCATGCTGGTATAATTAATTTTATTAATAATAATAATAATAATGCCGTATAGTCAGCATACAGTTCTACCAATGGTTGTCAAATTTCTAACAGTAGGTCCATGTGTGGTCTAGCAGTAAAGCAGCTGTATATTTAGCCAAAAGTGGGTTTTAAGTAGCATTTGCTGCCGATGACATACTAAAATTAAAAATTAAATTTCTTGGTTACATGTGTGGAATAAAAAGCTCTCAAATAGAAACTGAAGAAGTGCTCAAATAACATAATGTTGAGAGCTGGCGTAAAGTTCCAGTAGGGATGTAATAAAGCCATAGAAGAGAGAGACATCGTTGATGATCCACACCACGTCAGGCTTTGTTGTAATCACATACTTACCGTACCAGCATATTTTTTTTATTATAGGCACTCTTGGGTCCTTCGTGACTTGTCTGGGGTTAAAATTAAACTCGCCACTTTGGCGTGCGAGGTATGGATGTTAACCACTACGCCGCGGCCGTAGAAGTCGTTTCCATACCACTCAATCCATGGTTGCATGCCACGCTGTCTACGGAGGCTCCAAAGGTCAATCTACCTTACGTGCTGTGCGTCTTTTCGTCTAGTTCCAGTCGGATCGTATTCGAGAACCATTATCAACGGGATGTTGTCCAACTCGACGTTCCCACCTCACTGTATAGTTGCCCTATTGTTGCGATGTGGACGATGGGTAGCAGCTCGTGCATTTCGTGGTTCATTCGCCATCTAACCTCCTGCCATCTTCTAGTCTAAGCTAGTCTACGAGGTGGGAGAGGGAGGGGGCTTCGACAAAGTCTACGTAGCTTAAATTTGTTTTCCAAAATATATGATTCCCCACAAACTAAAAATGAAAATCGTTGTAGATATGGTCAATGACGTACATTTTCCGTTTCATTTTTTATATTAAAGGCATTTGCTTACAAAGCAAATTCACAATATTTTGAATTTAACAATAAATACGTTAATGTGATTTGTTTTCGTATTTAATTCTATCATATATTCGAATAGTACAATTTGGCAACAAAATCTATTTTACTGATCGTACAAGCTTAATATAATCACAAGCAACATTGCGAGTCTAAATCATGGTTTACAGAACCCTTATAAATTGCTATTTGGAATTGCTAACTGCGAGCAAGTGTCCATTCGTTTAGTGTTTCAAATTTTTAATGATCTTTTGGGACGTTTTCATACATATATGATGGTATTTGTAAAGTAGCTTTATTTATTCACTTATACAATAATTAGCTAATTTAGAATGAAGTTGACACAGTTAAATCTAACTTGGCAAATACAGGTTTGACTCTATCCACAAATGCATACCCTAATAGCTCTCTTAATATCACTTTAATCTTTTTTCTCTTTATTCCTCGAGGCTCAACCATGGACTCCCAACCGGACCGGGTTACCATTGAACATGGAACGGTTGTGGGCAGGCGATTACAGTCAGTTCCCCACCGGACATCAAATGCATGCACTCAATCTCACCTCGCAACAGCCGTGGAATATGCCACCGGGTCCAAAAAAGGTAATTCAATCGCTCAAAGCAAAGTACAACCCTCAGCTCTCTATATTGAAACACTCTTCATCTTTGTGAAGGAATTGCTTGACGACATGCCTCCAGATGAGGACGAACAACCTTTAGTTTGCATGATTTGTGAGGACAAAGCTACCGGACTGCACTATGGTATCATCACTTGCGAAGGTTGCAAGGGCTTCTTCAAGCGAACCGTGCAAAACCGGAGGGTTTACACGTGCGTCGCGGACGGTACCTGTGAAATTACTAAAGCCCAACGCAACCGCTGCCAGTATTGTAGGTTTAAGAAGTGTATCGAGCAAGGCATGGTGCTTCAAGGTAGGTTTTTTCTTCTAATATTCATTTTTTTTTTCTGTTATCATTAAGCCACTATTGTGCAATTCCCAGCTGTTCGAGAAGATCGTATGCCTGGTGGGCGAAATAGTGGCGCAGTTTACAACCTGTACAAAGTAAAATATAAGAAACACAAGAAAAACAACCAGAAAGGAAACAACCACCAAAAACTCGGCTTGCCCGGTGACAATCCAAAGTCGATGTACTTGACGTCGTCGACGACGCCGCCGATCAAGTCAGAAAGTATTAGCCTGCCATCGCACCTGGTCAACGGAACAATTTTGAAAACCGCCCTGACCAATCCAAGCGAAATCGTGCATTTACGCCATAGACTGGACAACGCCGTCAGCTCGTCCAAGGATCGGTCGATCTCGTACGAGCAAGCCTTGAACATGATACATACCCTTATAGACTGTGATGCTATGGAGGACATAGCGACCCTACCGCATTTTAGTGAATTCCTCGCCGACAAGTCGGAAATTGGCGACAAACTCTGTAATATAGGTGATTCGATTGTCCATAAACTCGTTTCGTGGACTCGAAAGTTACCCTTCTACATGGATATCCCAGTGGAGATCCATACGAAGCTGCTAACAGACAAGTGGCACGAGATACTGGTGCTGACAACCGCCGCCTATCAGGCGCTGCATGGTAATAAAAGCATAAGCAACCAGCTGCAATCTTCAACCGCCGGAAATGGACCTGGAGGTGGGACCGTTCTCGCACCAGACAAACAAGATCCGGAGTTTGCCGAGGAGGTACAAAAAGTAATGCATACGATTCCATTTTTAACAAACAAAAATCCCTTCTTTTCCACACAGATTACAGCCCATCTACACACGTTACAATCCTGCCTAACAACCCTCATGGGTCATCCGATTTCGATCGAGCAGCTAAAAATTGACGTCGGTCAAATGGTAGAGAAAATGACCCAAATTACGATAATGTTTCGACGAAGTAAACTCAAGATGGAGGAATACGTCTGTCTTAAGGTTTACATTCTGTTGAACAAAGGTTTGTTGCGACCAATAGTTAGATTAGGCAAAAGGTAAAGGTCTTGATTAACGTATGACTGTTTTCTGTTTTCTAGAAGTCGAACTGGAAAGCATACAGGAACGGTATGTTCAAGTACTTAGGACTTATCTGCAGCATACCGTTCCGCACAGTCCAAACCGATTGGCGGATCTGTTATCCCATATACCTGAGGTTAGTATATTTACTTTATCTATGTCTATTTGTATCTGTTCAAGTTAAAAAAAAAACACAGATTAATTAACCTATCGGTGATAAGTGTCTTTCTGGTAGTTTCTTCTCTGGTTCGCAGCCACCAGAGGGAAGCTAGACCTATGGGTAGATATAGCTGGCATCCGCCTTCACGAACATCGAGCTTGTGACACGGTTGGCCATTGTAATATTTTGTCAGATTTTGCCCACCACAAGGGCACCCAGAACATAACCATGTGTTGGAAATATGATCCTTATGATTTAAAAAAAAACGCCTGTCTACTGAAAATTCACCAGCTCTAATAAATATACAGTTACACACCGAGCAATGCTCCGTTTACATTACCGGCTATATTACGGCAAATAACTCAAAATTGCAAAATGTGGGGTTCCTCAAAGAGTAAGTAAAATTTTCCTCGATTTTCCTCATATTCAAGCATTTTTTCTGGAATAGCGAGAAAAATTTTACTCATCCACTGAGTAACCCCACTTTCTGCAATGTTGCGTCAAATTTGGCTCAGTTACTGACCCAAGCCACCAAAAGCTCAGTATGTCACGATAAAACTCACTTTCAAGTGCCATAAAACTCAAATAAAGTTCCGACAGAACTTTCTTATTGCTTTAGAAACTAAAGGAAGCATACGAGCATCAGGCTCCAGAAAGTACCAACTCTTAGGCACACCAAAATGAGGGCTTAACTCTTAGGAACGAATTGGCACAAGAAACTTTTTTTTTCTAATGTTTCAATGGCTCTAGATGGTATAGCTATATAGCCATTGGTCCAATTACATCATTTGCGAGAAAAAAAAACATGATGTTCATCGTGTGTATACTTATAATAGAACCGTAAAGCCGAATGCCGACCAAAAGTGACCCCAGCGGGAACCGGAATAACTCTGGAACCATGTATTGATCCAAATGTTTTCAGATGGATTCAAAAACTTCAATAGATTCCCGACAAAATGCAGCTTGTTGTAAAGAAAAAGATTGGGAAATTATGTTTTTAGAGCTTATTAAAATCTGAAATCTATGGACATTTAGACATTAGGCACGCAAAAGTTAAAGGACTTAAAATAATCGTTATTTGTGTTTCAATTTTATTAATCGCTGTTAAATAACGTCGAACTTGACAAGCTTGACAAAATACCGGCGAGTAAAAAAAAGTTCTGGGAGGGACCTGGCCCCCTTGGCACCCCCATTAGATACGCCAATGCAAATGAAAGACCTTCAGTTTTCATTGAGAGGGTATTTCAGCGATAGGAAAGGCTGAATAGACTTGATCCTCGGGGAGGCTTAAATCCCTCCTTGGTTTCTCGAAATCCTGAGCAGACTTTTTTTCAGGTAATTTTTTACAAAGTATCGTCTAGACAGAAGGTAATGTTACATTTGTGGCAGATATGTTTGAGATCAGTTTGTGTATTTTTTTATTTTTTTTTTACTTTTGTGACAATGAAAATTGCACAATATTTTCGACGTGGTTATAGTGCATCCACTTCGAAGCAAGTTTAAAAAAATTTTTTGCTGTGAAATTGGAGGCAAACAGCGCAATATCTTTTTTTGATTATGTATATGTACAACTTTTAAGGTCCGCATGTTTAATCGAAGTCGATTTGGTTCAAGTTTTTTTTTTTTGTATCACGTTTCCATTATTAATGTGTTTTTTAGTCGAAGGCTAGTTCATCACGACAATCTAACAAAAAAATCTTGTACTCAAGTCAGGCTAATCCTCTGCTAACATTCACGCGCATGTTCACACAGATATTTTCCCATCTCGATCAGGTTTTTAAGAGATACACACTTAGAAAAAATCATATAAATTTAGGTGCTCTGAGAGTGGCATATACGAGCGTCAATTTTTACCTAAAGTTGTGTCATAACAGACTGAAATATAGCTCAATCAAACGTACTTTTCGTGAAGCAACGAACTTTTCAGTCTCGAAGCACTTAATATTACATGACATATTTGTTTACGTCTCATTTTTATCAATTACTGTCAATGGTCGAAAGGTACAGTAGCAACACCTACCCCACCCGTGTCCCCTCGAGATCGTCAAGTCGACGATGACAGGAGCACATATCGTGGTAGGGGTAAACAATAGTTGCAATTTCCAAACCTACGACTGGATGGAATTCCTTCAAATAACAATTGAAGTGCGGAAAAAATCGGTAGAACTGTTTCAAACACACAGTTGGTACTTGAACGGGTCGGTCTTCATCTCTTTTTGGCAGTGGTGGCGGGGGGGGGGACACCCCTCACCATCCCTCTCCAAAGGGGGAGTTTGGTAAAGAGAGATGAAAAAACCGATTTGTACCTTCCTTAAAAGTTGTCCTAGTTCGCTATTCTAATATCTATATACAATCTTCACACTGCCGTACTCTAACGGAACTATCAACTCTATGCTGTCATCTACTCCATCTATCGTATAAAAATTACCACTACAGTCTGTTATTTGAAATTAGCATCTTCAACTATGTCTCATTTTTTATGTCAAAGACGAATTCCGTCTCGTGTAAAATTAGTTATTTCTTAGTGTGTATCTGTGCCTTGGGGTCAATTTATTTGTCGATGCATTTTACTAATTCTTTCATGACATGCATATACCGGAGTTCTGTAATACATATTAGATGAAATTTGCTCCAAAAACCTTGAAAACATAGGGGAAGTGGCTCTAATATTGGCCTATGGATCTAAGATTGGGCCCATCGCTAAAAATCTGCTATGTAGATGAACGCGTCATTGGGACGGTACTAATGGATATTTTTGGTCGCTATTGAAAATTTAGTCAATTGCTGAATTTATGTATGGGCCCAAATTAGGGGCATTTAGTCCGACATCCATTTCTCCTATTTGAAGTCTTTTATTAAAATATTTACGTTGTCTGTATCTATTGTAGAGTTCAGTTTATAATTAATTTACCAGGATGTGCTACTGTGACAATATTTTTTAACTGTTTGCCCTAACTTAACATATGGACTAGATAGAAGGTATCCGTCTTGGGCAAAGTTGTTCAGATGGACAATACCTACCCTAAGATAAAAAGTTCAGCACATAATTCACTCACCAGGCGGCGCTAGTGGGGTTTGCTTTTGGGGTCAAATTGAAAGTTACTCCGCCGCACTCTGTTTATGACGTCAACTATCAGTGACGGTTGGCACTGTTGTTGGTTGATAGATACCTCCAGGTTGTAATGTCCATAACTATAGGGTCGGATCGCTTCCCAACACTTGCCTCCATTGGAAAGGTGGTTGAGTCTGTATGTTACCTTTGTTCTTGGCTTGCGAACGTTGCCGAATGGGGCTGAGGCTTGAAGTGCGAGCTTCGTAAATAGAAACTCACGTCAGGTCAGCGAGTCTTTCATCATCAGGTCCAGGAGGAACACCATCGAACTCATCCGACATCGTAGCTGGATTTAAACCCCAGGTATCCAGGAGCAGGTCTATTGATACTTACTCGGGATTGTCTTCAAAATTGTGTCATAGTTGGTTGCTATGGCATCTCGTCGTCTCGACGATCCTTCCATTACTTAGTCCATTTCCTCCCTTCTTTCGACGATCATTTCAACCTGTCCATTGCTCTGAGGATGTAAAAGAGCCGAACTCTCGAAACTTCCTGCAACATGTTCGCTAGACTGATGCAAAATTTGAAATTTTCGCTCCACAGTGCTTAAACGGTTCCAAATTGGGTCCTGCTTAGCCTCCAAAAATTTGAACTACTTTAGTAAGAAACTGACTTGGCACAAACCATTTCAAGTTTATATATACCGCATCACTATCCTTTTAAAAATGATAGCAGTGATTGTAGTAAATTCAGCAGGCAACATTGGTGTTTCTGGTGCGAAGAATAGAGCACAAATATCATGGCTACTATGTCACACTGCAGAATGCAGTGTTGCCCACAGAACAGCTGCTTAATCATGCCATAAGATTATCAATCTCTTAAACAATTAATATCATTTTAATTTGACATTTATATTGCGCAAAGTTGTAGCTTAGAAAATTTCCCGTAAGAATAGTTATAGATTTTTTTTTAATATGGAAAATGAGTAGAAGCCAATGAAAAAAATATAAAAAATATATATAAACTTCGAATAGTTTGTGCCAAGTCAGTTTCTTACCAAATGAGTTTAAATTTTGGAAGGCTAATCAGGAACTGATTTGAAACCGTTTGAGCACTGTGGAACGAAAAATTCAAATTTTGCATCAGTCTAATGTTCGCTAGTAAATTGAGTGCCGTTATCTGACACTAATACTTCTGGCATTCCAAACCTACAGAATATCATTCGAAGAATCTCTATAGTCGCAACCGTTGTGCTGCGTTTCGTAGCTATTACTTCCGGTCACTTTAAGAGTGCGTCGACCTCGACCATGAACACTCCCGTTAGGCACGGACTAGCATGCTAATGTGCTCATGTATACCCGGCCACTAGACGTAATTCCTGGCCAATGATCGCGTTATTTTGATGCCAGGATGCAGGCGCTCTTTGATGCAGCGTTCACTATTTTTTTTTAATATAGAAAACTAACGTTGAGTCCGATTGACTTTTAAGTTAATCCATCTTAAAGTAGATATAGGGTTAACTACCCCATTTCCGGCCTATTAAGCATAACCCGCACTTAGTCTTTCCTAATCTAGTTCAGTTTAGCACCAAACGGAATGTTATTATTACTGATGGCTTCCAAATTTATTAACCTTTCCGTACGTACCGTAAGATTTGAAAACGAGAAACCAATCGTTGAAATATTGTCAAAAGTCCAACACTGCTTCTTAACACCAAACTCGGGCTATGGATTTTAAACTCGGCCTAACGAATTGAAACGCAATTGAAACGCCAATGAATTCACTTCGGCCTATCGAATGAAGATAAAAAATGATTCGGTCGGAACGCTTCTTTTGTTTTTGGGAATAATGGGTGCAAACCTTCATACCACACGTTCTCATTGACTTCATTCGGTAGCTTATTAACTAAAGTATCGTACCAAAC